ATTTTACATTCTTGCAATTTATACTCATTAATTATATATTATATTAATTATAAAATTTCAAAGATATTTGTATACTAGCGGTCGTGAAGCCAAAATTAACAATAGGTCCTTGCGCTGCTACTGCAGCTGCAGTGCCAAACAACAAAAATAGTCCTTACACTGCTATCGCAGCCGCGGAGCAGAACTAAAATAGGTCCTTACACTGCTACTGCAGCTGTAGAGCCTATAACTACAATCCAATCTAATTCTGTGAAGGGCGCATTACCTAACCATTGCTATCCAACATCGGGTGGGAGTGGAGGGGTGATAGAGTCAGCTTTCACAGGAGCGATAGCGAGAAGAAAAGTAATCTTCTAATACGTCACAAACCTTAAATATCACCTACTGAACCAATTTTTCCATATTACTGATTCTACGTAACCCTATAGCAAGTTGAATTTCTAATAATCATATGAAATCATCCTAATAACCAGGGCTAGCCTGCACATACAAGACATCAAGGAGAACAATCACAACAAAAAAAGATTATAAAAGATCAGATAGTAAATGGGTTGAACCACAAGGTCACCTGATCTCGCAATAATGATCACTCTATTTTCATTGACAGGTTCTCAGATTCTTCTGTTCGCTCGCTCGCCTTAGTAAAGGCTAGTGTTGTGACCTGGGGAGTAGGTTCCTGATTTAATTTCCGATCTTCAATAGTGCTTGTAAATTTTAACTTTGAGCGAAGACATCTTTACGATCACTTATTCAGCATTCGGAAATTCTGTACTAGGTTAGTGACGTAGACACGTTAAGGTTAGCGTTTCGAATAAGGGTAAAAGCCAAGTAGTTAAATAGTAAAATTGCTCAAGGAAAACCTTTTTGTTAGAGCATTAAAGGTAGTTTATTATGCAGATTTTTGAGAAAGAAGCGCTTTTGACAAAACGAACGTTTGTTTAAAATTTTCTGATCATGATCCTCGAAATTTGATTTGTCACTAACCTAGCACAGAATTGGATGGTTTTTTTTTTATTTTGATTTCACGAATTTGTAAATCAGAATTAATAAAAAATTCATTGGTTTTTTAGGCGGTCGTTGAGATATCTTTGCTCTACTTCTTTAAATAAGCATTTTAAAATTTGCATAACTGATAACTTTGAGCCAAGATATCTCGACGAATATTGATCCAAACTTGATGAATTTTTTTATTTTATTTTTATGAATTTGTATAATCAGAATATAAGAAAGTACATCGAATTTTGATAAGTTTTCATTGAGTTATCTTTGCTCAAAGTGTTAAAAAGTCTACCGTAATTTGTATCTTTAAATAGGCGTCTTAAAGTTCGTATGACTTTGAACAAAGATACTGTATCTCAACGATTATTTATTCAATAACGATGAATTTGGGTTATTTTGATTCTACAATTTCATATAATCAGAATAAAATATTTTATTTAGTTTTGATAACCTGGTCGTCTTAATACTTTCACTCAAGGTTTAAATAAATTTTAGAATTTATGAAATTGAAGATCGGAAATTAACGTGATCTTTGAATGTTTGCGAACTGTCTCACTCTTCAATTACAGACTATCACATTTAGTCAACCAATCAAAAATTATGAATTTCAAGAAAACGATAATCAGTGAAAGATGTAACATAATTGATATTGACTAAATACGTATTTACTATAAACCTTTATTGAGAAAGTTTATCGGTTTTTTTAACAATTTGCCAAACTTCATAATCTTCAATTTCATATTTATATTTTGATTGTAATTTTTCAAATTTACTAAAATTTGGATGACTATTATGAATAAATCTTTGACAAATATATAAATAATCATTATCTATATATATGTCATGACTATCATCATTACTAAATTTATATTTTTTGTTCCAACCAAAACATGGACCATGAAGAGAATAACATTTATCAACTAAGCAATTCTTTCTAACACGTGAGAGATTAGAGATATTAAAATCATTTTTGTTATCAAAGTAAAATAAAAAATTATCATCGGATATTGAATAATTAGTATTATCAGTTTTTACTGATTCAGGATGTTTCCAACTTAAAGCATTAAAACCACCGAATATTCCTAGATCCATAATTTTTATGATTGTTACAGTTGGTCCCTTATCATCACATAATCTATGAAACTCTTTTGAACTAAATCCATCTCTTTTTGTACAATAAAGAAGTTTGAAACTATAAGGATTATTGTCAGAATTATAATACAATGATTCATTTGGAGTTATTTGTTCATTATTATTTGTTGAGTTTTTCAAATCTTTCTTATCGATCCAACTTGCAATAATATCAAAATGTTGTGGCCTGACATGAAACATATGATTAGGTAGTTTATATCTTGGAGGTAAAATTGTAGTTCTATTTGATGCCGTCGTATTACCATGAAGATAGTGAAGAATTGGTTCGATTGATATAATATTTTTAAGGAAATCCAAGTTCTCTGAAATATCAAGTATTGACATTTGGTACCAACGAATTAGAGGGATACAATCATGAATGGTTTTTTCTAATATATCATAATCTTCTTTTCTCCATTCCTTAAAGTTATTACGAAGAATAATTGAATTTTGAGCAATACCCCATTGCACTAAATAATTCCAGATATTTATTTCTTTTAATGTGCCCAAATCATCTCGCTGTAATACACGAATTAGAATTGACTTATCCAATCGAGTAAATTTTCGATGCTCAAATAATGATCGAGGATTGATACATATAAGGTGAAGACATGGATCATGGAGAGACTTAAATGCAGCATTATTAAAAATAATTCGCATTACACTAAATGCATCAAGGTTCATATATTCCTCTAGCTTTTGATCTATAAAGTTTAACATATGATTGAAAAACTTTTGAAGTTGCATTTGATCAGCTATTACTAATAAACTCAAGATCTCAGTACAATTTAAATTGTCTAAAATGAGTTTTGTAAAGCCTTCACTTAAAAATAAGCGATCTGTAATTATGTTATGCTTTAACACTTTAGCCATCATCAAAAGTCGAAAAATCTCCTTTTCATTTAAATTTCCCAGAATAGTTTCAATATTTGTTAATAAGTTATTAACAGTTTTTCTATATTGAAAATCATTAGCCGCTACCAATAATTGTAAAATCTTTTCACTATTCAAATTTCTTAAAGAAGGGTAGCTAGAATCCATGCTTGATAACATATTATCGAAAAATTTTCTAATTCCTATTCTATTGTCCGTTTTCATAATATGTAAAACATCATTTATGTTCAATTTTTCTAAAACAATTTTCATATCAGATCTATATTGTAGATTTAAACTAAAATTTAGCTCGATGGTTCTTACTAAAAGACGTAAAACTTCTGTGCTATTCAATTTGCTTAAGACTATTTTTTCGAAATTGGCTCTTGATAATAAATATTCAATTATATTTGCAAGCTCTAACTCATTGGCTGCTTCTATTAATTGTAAAACTTCAGGTCCGTCCAACTTGCTTGAATCAATTCTTGTAGTGTATAGATACCTTTAAACAAAAGAGACATAAAATAATTTAAATCTGAAACATCACAATCAATAATAATTCAAAATAATAATTCAAATAATAATTCAGATAATAGAATAATAGAAATTAATTTTTTTTTTATAAATACCTTAAAATTACTTTAAATATTGTTTCCGAGATATTATTTATGGTAAAAGTAAAAATTTTTCCATTATTTTGAATGTAATTCTTATTAAGAATGGCAGTTTCGAAATAAGATGATCTAGAATATAGAATGAATGAATGTGCATGAAATTCTTTCGAATTATCTCCTTCACCAACATAAATGACAACATCATAATGTTTTTGGGTTTGAAACAACATTTCGTTGAAATCAAAAAGTTCCTTGTACGTATTGATCTTTTCTATTTTTTGACAATATGAATATATAAATGGTAAACATCTTGGCTGAAACATTATTTCATCATCAGGTAATGCTTTATTATAAAGATAATGATTAAGAATGTCTTGATGCAACTCTGTTGATTTTATTGACAAGATAGTTTTAAAAAATTTAAAAAATTCCGAGTCTTGTTTAAGTTCATCTAATGATATCCGCAACCAGCGAATCAAGGGTATAAAATCGTGTATAGTCTTTTTCAACATAATATAATCATCATCATTCCAGGATTTAAAGTTTTTTCCTTGAAGAGTAGAATTTTGACCAATACCCCATATTACTAAATGTTTCCATATACTGAATTCACTTAATTTTCCTAGATCATCACGTTGTATTATAAGCATTAAAATTGATTTGTCCAATTGAGTAAACTTTCGATGTTCCAATAGCTTTAGAGGATATCTATGTATTAAATGAAGACAAGACTCTCGGAATGGTTCACAAATATTATGTTGGAAAATTAATTGCAATACACCAACAACATCATTTAGCATGAATTTTTCCAATCTTTGATTAATAAACAGTACAATCTTATCCGTAATATTTTGAAGAAGTAACTCATCAGCTGCCATCAGTAGATTTATAGCTTCGACAAAATTAAACTTTGTAAGGTTAATTTCCGTAGTATACAAATATCTTTGAAATTTTATAATTAATATAATATATAATTAATGAGTATAAATTGCAAGAATGTAAAAT